CCTTCCCTTCTGCCAAGGTATGAGCATATTCCATGTCTTTGTAAAACTTGTCAATTTCTTCATCTGTTGAACTTTCTGTGGGTGCATATGCTTCAATTATAGATAAGGAGAAGCATTCAAATTTTAGTTGTAATAATGCTACCCTTTCAGAGATTCCTATAAAGTTACTAATGTTGTTCTTGTATTTTTTCTTTATGAGAAATCCCACTCCATATAGTCCTTTAGTTTTACCAATGTAGCAGAAAATAAGATCGCTGTATTCTTCAATAACACATCCTACTCTTCGAACTTCCGCGAGCCCCAAAATGTCCCAGCTAATATAATTCAGAGCGCCAGTTAATTCAAGAAATCGTTCTGCTGATGCAAGTGTTCTTACATTGTAAGTGCAAATCTTCAGGGTTGATTTTGTATCTTTTGTTTTTGTACTTGGTGGAGGGTTGCAGTCTGATTCCCCACGAGGACAAGTCGGGTTGGGGAATATTTTGTTTATATTACTTCTAGGTTCTTGTTTGTTTATTGTTACGTTCCGGTGGCTGATGACAGTGTCCTATGCATTCTGTGCAGTTGGAGGGTTGGCAGAGGGCAGAGAGTTATTCCTGTTCCTCATAACATCAAAGGCGTTCAGACGGTGTTTTTTAATTGCGGATTGCTGTTGTTTGTGGGAGTTTTCTTTATCATTTGGTGAGTTCGACATTTTCCTTTTGGGTCCTGTGTTGTCAGGTTTTCCCTGTTTGACAACTAACTTGTCGTATTTAATATATGCATAATTGCCTTTCTTCCGTTCTTCTTCCACTTTTGGTTGTAGCTTTTTTCTTGTCTCGATTATTTCTTTAGGGTAGTCTTCTGACACATACACGTTTTTCAATTTCTTTTTGTTTAGAACTATTTCTTGTTTCTTCCAAAGGTTGGCGATTGCCAGGAGGATTGGCCTTGCCTTACCATTTTCTGTGTTGTTTTTACCAATTCTGTAAATCGTGTTTACGTCCCTGTCTTCAAAAGCAATGTTTAAATCCTCTTTAAATTTCTTCTTAACAATTTCTATTAGACTGGCGGTCGATGTTTCAGTTTCTTTTACCCCATATAAAATTAAGTTGTTTATTCTTTTATGTTTTTCGAGGTTATATATCTTTTCCTTCAATTTTTCATTTTCAGACTTTAATTCCTGCATTTCTTGTCTAAAAGGGATTAGTTTCTCCTCAATTCGTGTCATAATGTCGTCAGTTTGTTTTGACATTTCTATTTTCATTTGGTCGAAGAAGGATTGAAGGTTGTCCATTGTACCTGTATTGCGTAGAATGTAACGCAGTCTTGTTTCTGAACGTAATTTGGTGCTGTTGTGTTGGTAACAGTGATATTGGTTATTTTGGTATGTCAACACTGACCTGACCTGTCAACGTTTGTGTGTCTATGGCCTATAATCAGCTGATGATTGTCGGGTGTTTTTTATTTTGCCACTGGATAACTATTTTGATATTACTGTTTTCGCACTGTTCTTTATTTTTCCATGTAGGTTGGCACTATAAATATATACTTTGGATGCTATTATACAGATTTTCGCGGTAAGTTTTGAGAATATATTCCTAAAATCGGAGCACAATGGCACTACGTGTTTACGCTCAGACAACCGGAACCGGGAAAAAAAAAAAAAAAAAAAAAAAGGCACAACTATGTTAGACATATTTTCCAGATTACAGTAGATTGAGCCTAGATTTCATGTTGCTACTGATTTACCCATTTTTTTAGGCGTTGGGCTATGTAATCGAGGTTCTCACGTCCAGCAAAGCACTAATGATAAAAAATTGTATTGTCAAAATTATGAACACAAAGTCTGGAAATATGGTCGGAGCATGGCAATATAATAGTTACAAGGTCCTTATACTGACAAACTACTAGAGTGCCATTTAGTCACACGGCCTCACAGAAAACCGACGTGAAACAACACTAGTGTTGTGTGTCGTCGTGTAAATGAGGTTATACCCAATCCTGAATACACAACAATCCTCAAATTCCTAATCCTCAAAAGGCCGGTAACGCACTTGAAACACCTCTAGTGTTTCGGGTGTCCATGAGCGACTTTAATTGCTTACCATCAGGTGATCCGTCAGCTCGTTGTATAATAAAAAGTACTGAACCGACATTCAATTTTTCAGCACAATTTCAACAGGTTTTTCCATCTTCAAGCATTACAGAAATATCGTGCACACTGTCATTAAATTCACGTTTCCTTCGACAAGACGTGTTTATTATCTCGTGGAAACGAGGGTTGCCCTGAAAATATTGGAACTGCATGAAAAATCTGAAACTTCCGTTAAGACTAACGAACACGATACGCCTAAGTAATAATTACGTGTTTGTATTCTTCGTTTTTATATAGTTTTAGGAATAATTTACTCGTCTCAGTGTTTGTCATACTTTAGATCCTTTATTTTGGAGTATTTTTCTGTTAAAGCTTAGCTAAGGGACAATTTACTATATGACTTCTCATTAATTTACAGAAGCATGGTGTTTTATAGACTATTTAATAAGACTGCCTCGTTGGCCGAGAGGTCGCAAGTGCGACTGCTGATCAGCATTGGGTCTCGGGTTCGATTCCCGGGTCGGGCAAAGTATTACTAAGTTTAAAAAAAAACTCAGTAGTAGCACGGAGTCTGGAATTGTGCCCGGTATATGGCAATAGGCTCACCCCCTATTACATGGGACTCATAACATAAATAGTGAAAAGTGGGTGTTACATTGTACAGTGGCATAATGCACATCTCTGCCTACTCCTTCGGGGATGTTATGTTAATAAAATGAACTTGGGTTGCTCCTCAAACAATAAGCATTCCTACTAGACTTGTTTAATTTTTTATAGAAATTTGTATTTTCATAGCGTAGGAGTTGAAATACTCTTCAAAGTGAACGATGATTTTCCAAAAGGAATATTTTTTTGATATTATCTATCAGATTTTTGTTAAAGTAAAACCCACTGCCCGTCATTTCCGCGTCATCAAAAGATCAAAAGCAATCCTGAGTTACTAAGAAACCTTTTTCTATGTTAAGTTTGATAGGCATTTTGTTTTTCACTCTTTCTTTGTATTTAATTGTTATTGAGTAATGGGTAAGGGATCAGCAGCTGTAGCCAAATGTCACTTAGAGCTTGTCTATATGTAGAATAGAAAACCAAAATATATGGAATTGACGTAAATTTTGACACTTGTCAGTGTCATCCCCATACATTTTGATTTCTACTCTCTCTGTAGACAAGCGCTAAAGTGGCGTTTGGCTAAAGGCACAGAACCGCCCTTGGACACACGTGTCGTGACACCAAATTAATATAATATAATTAAGTGCGTCAGCCATCTTTGAAAGTCACACATTTAGGTACATGAGTAACCGTAAAACATAATTATTTAGTATATCTCACGATTGGCCGAGTGGTCGCAAGTGCGACTGCCAGGCAAGGGGTCTCGGGTTCGATTCCCGGGACGGGCAAAGTATTATTAAGTTTTTAAAAAAAAATTCAGTTGTAGCACGGAGTCTGGAGTTGTGCCCGGTATATGACAATAGGCTCACCCCTTATTATAAGGGACTCATTACGTAAATAGCGAAAAGTGGGTGTTATATTGTACAGTGGCATAATGTGCACCTCTGCCTACCTCATCGGGGATAAAAGGCGTGATGTTATGTGTATATCTCACGAAAGTTATGACACAAATAGTGTCTGCTACTACTACCAAAAACTACTGGTACCTTTTATTGTTCTAAGGCGCGAAAGCGTCCCTTTTAGTTAGTCTGTCACGCTTTCTCTCGCAAACCACTGGACCAATTATGATGAAACATATGAGGATTGTTTGTAAACAGTCGATTTCTAGCACACACTTAACAAGTACGATTGCCATGTGTTCAACGCGATTCTCTGTTAAAGATTTTTTATTTAGCACTGATGGCATCAGATAAGGGATCTAATAATTGTGACGACTGCGAAGAATGATAAGAACATGTAATGTATCCGTGATTCCCGTAAGAACTGACTTAAAGGACTATACATTTACAGATACTGGGCAACAGCACTGTCGTGATAACTTGCCACTTTGAACCCAATTATGGCGATCTCTCTTACGGATCCCATAGTTTAACAATATGCTGTCGCAACATATTGATAAACTGAGTAGTGCTGCAAGAAAAATGTAACGCTAGAATCGCAATCAAAGATTACCACACGAACTAACTTCTTTCATTCTTTCTTTTTCATTCAAGCTTTTATTCTGTGGAATGCAAAGGAGATCAGAATGGCAACAAGTCGCTTAAGCATTGGCAGACTCAAAACAATTGAGAAAATTATTCTGACAACGTTTTCTTTTTATATAATATATGGTAGTATTTATGCAGTAGGTATAAGTATTTGTTTGGCAGTATTTATTCTTATAGGTATTTATGTGTGTAGTATACATATTCCATAACAATTTTATTTTTGAATTGTGTTCTGGCTTCGCATCAACCACTTCATTTCTCTGCACTTCCCTATGGTTGACTGTAAGAGAATGCCTTATGGCATTAAGTCCGCCATTCACTGTTGTATATTGTGAAGAAGAAATAAATAAATAAATAAACAAACCCATATGCGTAGCTAGTAAACCGATATTATAAGTCATATCCAAACTCTTTGTTCGTACAACCAAGTCAAGGATACATCCTCGCGTGCTACCAGCCACGATAATAACGCTCTGATTGTCAAGTGGTACGGATTTTGGCAGCCATCTTGGATTAATGTTTTACACTAGAATAAATTATGATTATGTTAACATAATGCGTGTATTTAATTGAAGTTTCTGTTATTTTACGTTGTTATTTTATTAGTGGTTAGGTTTTTAAAATTGATCCATTTTGTTTGATTTTATTTTTTTACGGAGGAAGCCGGTAAATGAGCATACGGATCACCTGATGGTAAACAATCGGCGTCGCCCATGGACACCTGGAACACCAGAGGCATTACATGTGCTCTACCCGCCTTTTCGGCATTAGGAATTTAAGGATTGTTGGGAAATCAACATTGATTTGGGGATTTGGTAGATTGGGAAAGGAGGAAAGTGTAATTGGGCCTCCAGTACCCTCACTCACACGACGAAACACAACGCAAGCATTGTTTCATGTCAGTTTTCTGTGAGGCTGTGGTATCATTCCGGTCGAGCCAGCCATTCGTGCTGAAGCATGGCTCTCCCACACTTAAAGTTTCTATGAGAAAATCATGAATAGCCTTTTTGCAAAGGCAATACGTCACCATCCACTTTCTTCCCACAGGTAGAACTAACGACACCCATTTGACAAAAACAAGAAAGCAACGTCCCTTGAATCTTTCCAATTACGATCTCCTACCCGCAAGCCAAGCCTGAGGATTGTACCAAACTGTCTTATGTAACAGAATGATGTGCGTATGGAATTTAGTCTCTAACCATCGTAATTTTTAAAGAAATAGAACTATTGAATGCACAAATCAGAACCATATGACGTATCAACGTCAAATGATCGCACATGATTGCATGACAGCAAAAGATTTGAACACCGGGCTCAATTCCAGATTCTGTTCTATTTACAGACACATTTTGACACAAAATCCAAATGGTAACAAACATTTTATGAGATTCAAATCCGACTCAGCATCAACAGTATCTATGAGCTTGTATCACTAGCTAGAATTTTCTTTCAAGTATTTAATCATAATTCAAGCCTTTGTGGAGCAGTGTTCATAAAAATACCTACTTAATACCTAACACATGACATTTTTAACAAAAACCCAAATAATTCAAGCAAGTCAAAACTGGTCAAATTTCATTCAGCAATAACAGCGAATTCACGTGTTAAATTAACATAATAAATCAATATAAAAACAAAACATTATGTACACAGAAACTATGAAACCATAACGTCTTTAATTTAAACAGAAAAACGAAGTAAACAATACCTACCTACATATATAATTAATTGTTCGTCATTCGTGTACTAGCAACACTTACGAAGCCCTGACAAAATCCGCCGTCAAAGGAAACTATATATCACCCAAGTATATCAGTAATATTACGAAATTATCGGCTGTAAAACGATGCCAAATGAAATCGTATCCTTAACCATAGGACCTCCAAAAATAATGACAGGACAATCCGCCCAAGTAACATTAAACACTTAAAAATTGGAGATAAATTAAGAACCTTAAGATAAGGTGGTAAGGTTGTAATTAAAGCTGAAACAATAGTTAGAAGTATTGGGTTTATTAAGTAATTCGGTGCGCGGGAGTCGAGTAGTGTAACGCCCCTGCGGATGCTACAAGTAAAAGCAATGATACATCGCGGATTTCGTCGCGTTCTTGTTGTGTTCTGCTTTGAACTGTACATTTTTTAAAGTAAATATATACTTAAGTATATTTAGCCTTAGACTGCCTCGTTGGCCGAGTGGTCGTAAGGACTACTGCGGGGCAACGGGCCTCGGGTTCGATTCCCGGGTCGGGCAAAGTATTACTGGGTTTTTTAAAAAAACTCATTAGTAGCACGGAGTCTGGAATTGTGCCCGGTATATATTGCAATAGACCCTTACCTCACCCCCACCCAGCTTATAAATGTGGCCTGTTATTGGATGTGATCTGGTGATGTGATGAATTGCATAGTAAACGTAAAAAATGTGGTACATTTCATTTTCTCCTCCTATGAATGTACTTTCAATGTTTCTTTTTTAAAATAGAAAATAACGATCCAGTACAACTAGATACAGAAGGAGTATATCATTGTCGAAGCGAGGACGTATGTACACACAGAGGAAGTGATTCAGGCGAGGCCTGCTTGTTCAGCGAAGCAAACAGCGGCTTGCGCAATAACCCGCGCGCACACACTCCCGCGCACGCGATCCGACGCAACGTATACTATGTCCACTTGTCTTGTGATTGTGATATTGTGGACTATTCTTTTTTTTAAAAACGTTGCCCCACAATAGGATTATCTCTTGTGTCGTGGGTGCGTTTACAAACATACAATTTCACATAGACATGACACCCAGACCCGAAACAACAATTTGTGGATCACACAAAGTGTTGGTCCGTGCGGGAATCGAACCCGCGACACGTTGCACGGCAGCCGGTTGCCCAGCCACCGCACCAACCGTGCAGTCACTATTATGATGTACTTCTTTCTATATTTATTAAAACTGCAAAGTAAGTCTAAAGATCGTATTTTATATTTGTCTGTACTTTAATAGAGACGGACCTCTGAGGCTATTTCGGCATTTCTTCTCAGAGTAGTCAGTTAGGAAATGTCGGCCTCATCGTTTGCTTGATAAAATTGACGTGTACAAGTGCTGCCTTGTAGCCTATTTGCAGTAATAAATTCACTTGTTTCACTTGTTTATCCAACTGCATTAGATGGATAATATTTTTTGCGCATATTCTTTAGGGTCGTGGGGCCCAAGTGCACATCTTCTTTACAAAGGTATTGTAAGGAGGATGGTTGACAATTCAGGTGATCGGCTATGGCTACTACCTTGGAAAAAGTTAAGCATTGCCATTCAACGTGGCAATGCTGCCAGTCTTTTGGGCACCCTACCTCACAGTGGCAATGAGGAAAATGTTTTCTTTGATGCCTTATTATTTTTTTAAGGTGTAAATATTTTAGTTTTAATTTTTTTTTTATATTTTAAGTTGTATATATTAATAGTCGCAAAGTAGTTGTATGTTAATCATAAATCTGTATAGTTACTTATTAAATAAAAAGTGCGTAATAAAATGCTTATTCTTTAGATAGCGTCCAATATTAATGACATTTTCTTTGCTTTCCAAATAGTACTTATACAACACACAGTTCCATTTTACAGAAGTGCATAGAGACCAACACAATTAGGTAGATTATCTCCGTCCTAAAATAAAAACGTAGTTTAACTTATTTATTGAATTCTTTAAAGAATCTTAAGATCTATGAACTAGAATTTAAAATACATCTATTCAGATGACCAACATACTGGTCCAGTTTTGTATCGAACTAATTTTTCAATTGTATGATTATTTCTATCTCCTTGAAGTCTCAAACATTCTTAAATATTTTACCAGTTGACAGTGTAGTATGGATTTCCGTAAAGCAACGGCTAACTCTATTCTATATATAAAATAGTTTTATCCTCGAAGGGGTAGGCAGAGGTGCACATTACGGCACTGGCAACTGCGGCAGTGGCATTAGCCACTGCACAACGTAACACCCTTTTTTCACTATTTATGTTATGAGTCCAATGTAATAGTGGGTGAGCCTATTGCCATATCCAGGCATATTTCAAGACTCCGTGCTACTACTTAGATTTTTTTAAAAAAACACAGTAGTACAAACCCGACCCGGGAATCGAACCCAAAACCCGTTGTCCGGCAGTCGCACATGCGACCACACGGTCAATGAGGCAATATAAAATAGATGATTGTATCAAACAGAAAAATGACTTAAAAAAACTGCATTTCAATTTTTAAAAAGATACCCCATTCCATTTCATCTTTCTGAATATCTTCAAGCCTTCTTACTAAATACAAGTTCAGCATATAATTCACTAGTAATGCAAGAAATTATCACCCTAGACAATGACGGTGTGTTCAATGTGCCGACGCTGTGAAAATTTATGGTTTCTGCTTGTGCCTTTTAAGAGGTTTCGAGTCGTAAATGTTGGAGACGCGATTTTAGGTGGCAATCCTGTGGGAGATATGCTAGCGATACTTTGGTATTTTAAAAGCAAAAATGCTTAATATTACTTAACCTTATGCCATTTAAAATCTCGAAAGGATACGCAGACGAGCTATTAAATGTGAAAGTCAAAGAAGTCAAAAGTCAAAATCATTTATTTCAATTAGACCAGAAAGATGATACCTCTAGATTAGAAGAAAAGATGTAGATTCCTATGGAGAAGAACGAGCAAGAATCTCCATAGGTTACTCTTTGTGAGAATAACTTTGCATCGGTTGAGTCCTTGTACTTAATAGTGACGGGCTTATTGCCATGCATTGGGCACGATCCTAGAACTCCATCTATTACTGAAAAGGTAAAAACAAATCTAACATAACCTAGCAAAAGAAATTCCTTCAGATTGATAGCCTGGTCAAGATAAGAATCGAAATTTGAACAGCTTATACTTATCTTTTATATCTTATCTATCACTACTCTGCTCACCCCAAATTCATTAAAAGGTTTGTCGTAGAAAAGCTCCAGTCACTGCTGTCATTTATTATGTCGCGTTCACTCGCGACATTTAGACTTTTCATTTAAAACGTTCAGTCAAGTCATTAACTGTCGTTAGTTAATTTTATTTGTGAAACTTTGTGTGCACTCGTCGATCATTAGACGCTTAATGTATGTGTGTCTTGTTTAGGTTTGAAATACAGAAAATAAGATTGAAATTTGAGTATACACGAATGCGTTTTCGAGAAAACTGTAATTGTCATAATTGGGTAGTTTCCAGGGTATGAAAATTAAAAATCGAATTAGTCCGTTAGTTAGATAAGGAAAAAATATTAGATACGTATTTTTTTTATTTTCTCGTAGGTATTAAGTTGCAATACTTAGATAAAATGGCGCTAAGTTTAGGAGTGGGAGGTTGTTACGTCATAACGTGCTACAAAATGTGGAACGCTGTGACGTCACACGATATTTCAAATTAGTATCGAAAGTATTTAATTTTATGAGAAAAGAAAAAATACGTGTCTAAAGTTATAAATTAATCTACCAGACGGACTTTAAAATAAAATTTAGGAACCTACCCTATTATATTGATTCTTAGATCGAGCTGCTTTGGTATTTAATGACTCCTAATTCTATATCAACAAAATGAAAGCAACAGAGGAACCCTAATTATGAATATCAATTTACTATTTGACTGCACGGTTGGTGCGGTGGCTGGGCAATCGGCTGCCCAACGTGTACTGGGTCCGCACGGAGCAACTCTTTGTGTGATCCACAAATTGTTGTTTTAGGTCTGGGTGTCATGTGTATGTGAACTTGTATGTTTGTAAACGCACCCACGACACAGGAGAGGATCCTAGTGAGGAGCAATGCTTTTGAAAAAAATATAAAGAAATTAAAAATAATACAATAACCTATGTTAAAATTTACTATTACATCATTTCAATCTCAAATATCAATTCAAGTCACTACTGAAAATCACGAAACCAACGATTTCATAATGATATTTAGGTACAATATTTTGCCAAATAAGATTATTTTATTTCCTACAAAAACAAAAGCCAAAGAAGTCGTCGTTTAAGGGTGGTATCCAGTGACTCGAAATAAATGTTTTAATGACGAACATTATGCAAACACATTAAGGGTATCACCCTCTACGGCTATCGGATTGGAAATTGGTGCGAGTTAGAAGAAAAAGCGTTTTATTAAATAAGCATTTTTGTATGCTTGACAAGACCAAGATCTTATTGAAATTAACGAAATTGTGTCTATCAGTAGCATGTTATTATAGAATGTGTTAGGGTGCGGGTCCACAGAAGCGGGGTATTGCGTTGTTCAGCGAAGCAGAGCAGTGTGAATAAGTAGGTGTTTCCTCTATCACTGCGCATAGATGAGCAGTGCAGAGCTGAGCTATATAGCTGGGTGAAATGGAGCCGAGCTGAGCCTTTCTGTGGAAACGTAACGATAGAAAGTCTCAAAATTAAGTTGACTCTAATAAATATATACAAATAGTTTCATAATTATCTACAAAATGGAGTATTTTACTTCAAGAATTTTCAATTTAAGGTAACCCATTTTCCTTCTATACTTCTAAGTAAAATTTTAAGAAGATTGATTGTATAACTTGCGGACAAACTTGTTTTCAGATTTACGATTGGCATATTATCAGTTACAATAATTGGGGTAACGTCCACCACGTCCCCGCTCCGCTAATGCCCCGCTATTTTCCTTTCACTTGAACCACTGAACATTTTTCTTTCCCATCTTGCCCACTAATGCGTTCGAAACACAGCAGTTATGACGTAATGTCTTCGAAAACGTCGTAATACCGTGACTAAGCCGGATTAAGGCCGTTTGGGGACGTTTAAATTAAAACGGCTAATTGATTAAGGAAAATGTATATTTATATTTTTTTAAGGTAACATTTGATACAGATCGGTAATTAGGAACCTTTTAAAGGATACCTATTTATTCATTAACTGTTGAAACATTTACATTTCGAAGCTAAGCACTTCAAAGTGACTGCTTCTTAAACGATGGAACGACCACTCATTCATACACTAACATCCACCCAACTTCTAAAACAAAACATAGTTTAACCGCACGATAACTCTACAAACTCAAATTTCCACACCTATTTCTTGACAAAAATGCAACAAAACTCAGGATAAAAATAGACATGTAACATCGAACCTTTTTATTAAGCATTTCCTGAAACGAACAGCGCCCTTTTCCCCTTCTATTTTCTAACAAAAGTATTGTGACTGAAACCTCCTATTCAGTCATTGTTCGATGACATTCACAAAAGCCGGACTTGTCGCAACAAAACCGATCAACAAGTTGTTTAAAACCCTTGTTATACTTGTCACCATATAAAAAGAACTTGTTAACAAAGAAAACTAAACTTTATCTTGATAAAAATACAACTGAATTTATGATTGGCTGGTGTAATATGATACGTCACAGTCTAAAAATATTGTTAAAGTCATAAAAAGAAAATGTACAGAGTGTTAAAATGTTTGCAAGTTATTTCTCTACTCTGTGACTCAAGTCAACCCTCCGTACGCAACGACGGGTCAATAACAGAGGGGTGTTAAAAAATTCTTCGTCGAAAAAAATAATAATAACGCAGGACTTATCGCCTTCACACTGCGGATCCGTACATAAATAATGATAAAAGGAAATTAAATCAAAGTCTTATTAGAATATTAAAAGTTTTGTGGGCTTTTTTTAATGTCTCTCGCGGTGTTAAGGGATGCATATTTTACTCAATTTGGTAAATGGAAAGTCGGTGTGTTAGTCAGCGGCTATTAGAGGGTTGTTCGTAGGTTTTTAATATTTTTTCTTTCGGATATTAAAATGCATTTATTAATTACGAATTATGACATTTATTGTGTCGTTAATTTTAATAGTTTTTGTTTGTTTGTAGACTAGAACGTCGTTACGTATTTATTATTTACAGTAAATAAGCATTGATAATTATTATAGTACTAAGTCATTATAAAAAAGTTTTCATTAGACAAAAGTTTGTCACAATTAAAAACAAATAGGTTAACAGTGTCAGCCATATTAGACTGAACATCAGCATTTTGAGGCCAACATCGCTAATCAGTTTTATTCTTAGTTAGAACGTGTAACTTCTAGCTGACTTACTAGGATTTTCTCCTGTGTCGTGGGTGCATTTACAATTACAAACATACAATTTCACACACACGTGACACTCAGACCCGGAACAACAATTTGTGGATCACACAATCCATGCGACAACTGACCCTGCGATACGTTGCATGACAGCCAGTTGCCCAGTCACCACGCCAATCGTGCAGTCTAATCTGATTAACACTAAAGCCCTAATTTGCAGCATGATTTGGTATCTGATTCAGACTTTTAAGTGTGGGAGAGCCATGCTTCAGCACGAATGGGCTGGCTCGACCGGAGTGATACCACGGCCTCACAGAAAACAGACGTGAAGCAACGCTTGCGTTGTGTTTCGTCGTGTGATAATCGTCGTCATCTAATCCCCAAAAGGCCGGTAACGCACTTACACCGCCTCTGGTATTATAAGTGTCCATGAGCGACGCCGATTGCTTACCATCAGGTGACCCGTCTGCTCGTTTACCGGCTTATGCCATAAAAAAAGACTTAAATCTCAGGATACCTAATAACCTAACCAATACTTCAAGCAAACCATTGAAATACAAGACATTAATATATTAACCTGTACGGTAATCTAGGCATACATTACACGGCTAGTTGTGCTCGTATCCCCGGTAGAGGCCGCTGTCTGGTGCCGACCATGCGTCTTGTCTTTACTAGCCAACCGCGCCCCGGATGTATCGTGTCGTGTGTAGTAGGAGGGGTAGTTTTGATACTTGCGGTGGTTTAAATATTGGATGGAGAGGGTTGTTCAAATGGTGTAGTTACAATATTATAAGATACAACCTATTAGCTGTTGCCCACGACTTCGTTCGCGTAGAATATGATTCCTGTTTTATCCCATGGAGACATTTAATCGGGATTCAAAATAATATACCACCTAAGTCAACCCATACCTTGTCTGTATACCAAATTTAAACAAAATCCGTTCAGTAATTTCAGCATGATTGACGGACAAACATCCAAACAAAGAAACTTTCACATTTATAATATTAGTGTGATTATTTTGTTGAAATAATATTAAACAAGTACAATTGAGTTTTAGAAAAACTGTAAGTTGACAAAGCTAAAGAGACCTGTGGTATAAGCGACACTTTACGTCACTAAACTTTATAGACAGTCGTATATATTCTAACACAAAATAGCATAATCTATAAAAAATATTGGGATGCCTAAGTTTATGTATCGTTTGTATTTCATACGTTTCCATCCATCCTAACCATGTTACGTAATACAAAAGATAGAGCATGTTAATAAATATGGGAACTTAAACACCCGACTTCACTTCATAATCACTGAGTCAAATAGCTGCATACCTGCTTTAAAGTATCAAGTCACCCCCGTCCTTGTACGCCACAGGCAACCATTAGGGAAATCTGCGCGGCAGCGAATACTGTTTAATTTATACGCGGGAATATTCTTAAACTATCGGTTTTGTGGTCACTGTGGCGATTCGGCCTTTATTTATGTTCGGCCTCGGCTTCGGCCGACGCGGAGCCGAATTAGCGACCACTCTCAAGGGATGGTACCGCTCTATTTTGTATTTGGAAATGCTTAGAATTAGTTTTAGGTAGGTGAAATTTGTTTGATAGAATAAGAAACAACAACATTCGTAAAAAGACCAAGATACAGGATGTAACCTTAAAAATAAAAAGGCTAAAATGGAAGTGGTCGGGACACATGATCAGAGGAAAGGAAAAATGGAACAAAATATTAACGCAATGGTACCCAAGAGAAGGTAATAGGAAAAGAGGAAGACAACAAAAAAGATGGGACGATGATATTAGGCAGGTCGCTGGAAAAACATGGAGTAGAGTAGCCAGAGAGAGATCAGAATGGAGTAGGTTGGAGGAGGCCTTTGCCAACTGGCAAACGGATTTACAAAAAGTGAAGAAGCACCAAATACGCGAAAAATTTTAATTAAATAAAAATGTTCTAGTTCACGTAATGTAAGAAAGTATTTTTTGTTTTTGTTTTTTTATCCGAATAAAAGGCTTATTATTATTATTATTTAGGTGAAATTTGTTTCAGGTGATTTAAAGATTAAGGCAGCATAGTTGTTAATTGACGAAGATTATTAAAAATAAACACTTCGAATGATATAGTAGAAGTTCACGTACCCATAGAATACTTACCATTCTCTTTGTCATTAGCTAATAAAAGGAAAACAACTTTGGTATAAATAGTAGTCAAAACCTGACGACAATATGACATGACAAATAAAATGTGCTATTATACTTTCTACCGAATAAAAAAACCCAATATTAACGAATACCCAATCCACTAAATCCCCCAACAAAGGCCTATATTACGAGAGACCTATCCCAATCTGATTACCATCCCAATTTACACATTTCGGTCACAATTCATATCGGACGCATAAAAAACCAATTTCGAGGCAAAAAAGGCATAAAGGCCAATGTGTAACATACGAGGCATAATATCAATTTGCCTTTCATACAATATTCATGGCGTGACGTACAAAGTCATATAATTTATATGTTAGAAACAAATTCACGAACGATTTGGCTGAGGTAAGAAGCGGAATATATTCACGGTGCGCGGTCTGG